AATGCAATTTATAATCTCTAAAAAACAATTTTTTGTCAAACATTTAAATCATCATATACGTTATGTAAAAAATTGAGGCAAAAAAATTTGTTTCCAGTGTTCGTACATTTTATTATCGAATTACTTGCTCAACAGCACAACAAGCTTTGAAATTAAAGAAGAAAAAAAATTCTCTCCAACCCTCTTTTTCATTTCCACTTTGATTCATTTCAAACTTTTTTTTTCATCATCACGATACAAATTACCTTCAGCTTCACTATTTCATTGTTCTTCATCCAGCCTTCTTTTTTCATTTAATGTTAACTAAACTTTCTGTGTAATTCTGCGAAAAAAAAAAATGAAAAATAAAAAAAATTTTTCCACCAAGATAGTTATCAATTTGCAAAATTGAAAATTCGCCCTTAGATGTAATTTAAATAGTTCCTTGGAATGATAAGTTTGGAGAGAGGACAAAAGAAAAGTTTCACTCCACTGTTGAGCGCAGTGTCAGGGTCAGTCAAGGGCGTCTGACCACAGGCGGAACGATTCCACTGAATACACCTCTCAGATGTATTCACGTCAATGAATATCTGTGTCATTCTCCAACAAACAAATTATTTCAATATTCATTATTACCTAACGCATTATGCAAATTTTTTTCTCTTCAATCAAAAACTTCTAAATTCAATAAAATACCATCAAGTTAGTATAAATAATTAAATTAATTACACCTTATTAAGTTAATTAATTTTCTCTTTTCGAATCAAATTTATGTAGAACGAAATTTTTCATAGAGAAAAATATGAAAAAAAAATTTTCTGAATAAAAAAATTAGCCCTTACTTAACTTTAAATATCGCAATTTAGTTTTTAGTTTCAATTGACACCCTTCTACTGACATCATTTTCTCACAGTGAATAAGTTCGAAGGCATTAAGTCTTTTAAAGTAGTGTTTCTAAACTCCTTTTCAAGTACCTCTGATTAAAATTCATCCTCGGAATAAACTTCGAGATCTTCTCAAGCCACGTTTCAGAGATTACTTGGCCGATTAATTTTAATTAAAGGAATTACTTCTTGTTATAAAGTCATTTTACAAGTTCAATTCAACCTCCACCAGATGACCATAGGAAGGTAATCTAGTGAAATCAACTTTATCAACGACAAAGTTTATCTCAAATTTAAAAAAAAAAAATTTCAATATTTTTTATGCTACAAATAACGAATAATTTATTAGCGAAAGAGAAAAAAAAATGGTATAAAATAATATAAAAATTCATTTTTCCATTTCGTGCACAGATTTAGAAAAGTAACACATATGTTATATGACAACTACGTAACAATCCGGAAGCGTGAAAAATATTCTATATCGCAACTAGTAGTATGCAATTTTTATCATATTTTTTTTCGCCATGTAACAAACTGTCATTATAAACCAAGTTTTAATAATTTTCAACTTTTGAATATTTTATATATTATATAAGCGATAGAAAAAAAATTTTAGCGGCATTATTTTCTCTTTTTGTTTATTAATCCTTTTGGTTCTATAGACAATTTTATTCAATTTATTTATGAATGCGAGTAAAAGCAATAACGATTATTTATATCAAAGAGTCAAAAAATATTTTTCATTCTTTCAAAACAAAAAAAAAATCTATTTTCAATTATATTTTGTGTTTTTAACGGATTTAAATGTATTTTACTGTTCTTTGTATTTTTTTAATGAAAAAGTACATTTTTTGAAAGGAAAATAGTAAAGGGAGGAACAGTATGTTTCGATTAAATGATGAAAAGTTAAAAAAAAATGTTAAATTTAAATTTACTTGTTGGAATGTAAAAAGCGAAATACAATTTTCGTAAATAAATAAATAAAAAAAAAAACAATTTTTACGTTTCTATTTTTGCACCTTTGATTGGAGTTGTAACGCCATCTGTAGGCGACAGCGTAGCAACTGGAAGTTCGGGTGAGTTCGGGTCTACTCGTGTCGCGACGATTCCTTCACGAGTCGACACGAACTGACACGAAGTTTACAAATATTCCGCCATTTGCATAATATTGTCAAAATACAATTCTATTTTGACAATAAATAAAATTAGAAAGTGATAAATAATACCGAAAAAAGTGGTAAATAATCAAAGTAAAAGTGTAAAATTTAACAAAATTAGTTTAAAATTTGATTTTAAATTTTCAAATCAGAAATTCAGAAATATTTCTAAAATATAATTTCCAATTTTCATTAGGTACAAATTTTAAAAGTAGCAAATATTTAAAAATTTTTACAAATTTAAAAATAAATATCTTCCAAATGGTGAAATATTTTTTTCTTCAAGGAAAAAAAAATACCATTTGGATAAATTGAGTCATAATCCAATTTCGTAGAATGCACATTGTTTCGGCGAAATTCGTTATAGAAATTAATGTATGTTAAATGAATTTTCGTAATTGAAGATGATCGGCAAGCGTGACCGTTTATGGAATGTTGAACACGCGTCGATGAATTTTACTTGTTTTTTTTTTTTTTTTTTTTTGCGAACGCACACATTCTCTGTGTAAATTTTTCTTTTAATTTTTTTTTATCGTACGCGTATCTCGATAAGAAATTGCGACTAATTAATTAAAATCCGCGCTAAGCGCATAAAGTATCGCAAATAGCGTTGATTACTTTCTATAAGGCAATCGAAATTGAAATCAAACGCAAAGACACACGGGGGTGTCTGAGAACGAAAGACCGTCCCAACAAACTCCACACATTACTTTATATCGAAATCCAACGAAAACCGGTCAGGGCTGACGAGGAAAAAGATACGCTCCCAGTTTTCACATTTTTGTCGTTTTGGAGATAATATAATAGCTTTCACTTTCTATGCCAAGCAAAACGCACATTTGATATTAACAATTCCGTGTGTCACGAAATAATTTTTTCAAAAAAAAAAAAAAAAAAAGAAAGAAAAAAAATTCCAACTCAGGAAACTTGGGAAATAATAACAAAGAAAAAAAAAAAGATTCTCCAACCCCCTTTTCACTATAGCGATTACTTAAGATTACTTTTTCTGTTATCTAATGACTTGGTATATCTCAAAGAAGTGCCAATGAAATTGCACAACTTTATCCCGTTAAAAAAACCGGTATAGTTATCTAGACACTTGAATTATGTCATTTTTTTCCACTCTTTACAGAGAAAACGTCAATCAAGAAAATGAGTTTACGTTACAAAAATGGATATTTTGGTTTTAATTAATTACTTATATTGAGATTATTGTTAATGACCCCAAGAGAGATGAAAATTGAACAAGTTATTGAAATCGTCCCCATCGCAGAACTAAACATAATAATGGGGTTTTCGAAAATAATAAATAACAACCATGACACGCTAGTCAGAAAAGAATTTAGGTCTTAGTGTTGCACATTTTTTTCCTTCTTTAGCAAATTTTCCATTTTTTCCTCAAAAAAAAAAAAAAAAAAAAAAAAAAAAAAAAAAAAAAAAAAAAAAAAAATCTTTTAAATGACTAAAGACACAAAAAAAGACAAATTCCATTAAAATGCAAATTCGACTAACAAACGTATTTTAGAAAAAATCATCTATCCGCTAAATTCGGATATTTTTATTTCGGAATAGAAAAAGAGAAATTATTAATTTACTTGAAATTGAATATTGAATTTCAATAGAATTCTGAAGCAAATGCAATGAACGAAAGTGACATGGTCAAATACATATATATTTCCTCGGAAGTGGAACTCTTTTCAATCAACTTTTTTCCATCAATCATTTTTCATCAAAATATGGTATATAATGAATCTTGAAATTGAAAATATAAAATTCGATAGTTTTTTCTTTTCTCTCTTCGGATGTATTTTTTTTTTTAAATATCTGATTAGGTAACAATGAATTTTTTAGAGACTAATTTTATTATACTACCGTAAATTATATTGTAAACCGATGGTTAATTATAATAATTGGAAATAATTTACCAAAGTACCTAACAAGATGTTTAAATCGACTATAGATATATATGTATAAGTCGTAAAGCAACAGGTTCTAAAGTGGATATCTCAATAGTCAGAATTCTCCCTGACGACAGGAGATTTATCTCTTTCACGATTTTCATCCTCTCGTGTCGAAAATTTTAATTTCCATTCTCAAAAAATTTACAGGCCATGTCAAAAAATTTTATTTTTGCACAACATGGCTTGATGCAAATTTTTTGAGAATGGAAATTATTTTCAGAAATTGTAGATACACATTTTCAGGAATATAAAAATTTTTTCAAGAAAAATAAATTGTTTCTAAATTATAAACTGGGAAATAGTTTATAATCAGAATATACAAATCTTCAGGTTGGATGAAGATCTAATCCTTCGTCTATGAGGAAGCAAAATTGTAAATTTTCTGGTTTTTAAAATAGTTTTATTGTTCGCCATGTGAACAAACTGTGACCAAAACTGTGACCATAGTTTAGGATCTGAAAATATAGAAATTTTCAGATTTAAACTTGTTTTTGGCCATGATTTCTAAATTAGAAAATGGAAAAAACTATGAGGGAAAATTCGGACAATAATAATTGAAAAAAAAAATAAAAAAAATTCAGACAATTGAAGCAGAAGGAAAGGAAGAATTGTGTGAAAAGGAGAGAATGATGAGAATGAAAAATAGTCATTTGAAGAGCTGAAGAGGAAAAAGGGGGTGTTAAAGAGTTGTAGAGTGAAGAGGAACAAAGTTTAGAGAAGAAATCAAGTAATTAGTTGAGTGGTGCACTTGGTGCAGGCTTTGGTCTCGGCACCGACTTGTGCAGCGTACAACTATAGGGGAGGGAAGTTGGGGAGGAAGGAGGAGAGGACTAGGGCAAGTCTCGACTGACGTGCAAGACGAAGTAAAGAACCACCTAGATATATCTAACTTATTTCTGCCTTTGCAAGTTGACCGCGTCCGCCTGCACCACCTTCCCCCTTACCTATGGGTGGACGACCACCAGTATGAGGAGGATTATGGTTTTTCAAGCGCGGGGAGTGCAGGGGGTGTTCGGTGCGCGGCTTTCGAAAGGATGGTGATTGTGGAGCGTGGCCAGAGTAGAGTTAGGCGTATAAAAGGCCCGTCGACCCAGCCTAAGTCAGTCATTCACCGCACTACCAGCCCACCACACACAAACCAAACATGAAGGCCTTTGTGAGTATTCCACCAAAGTGGTCTAACAAAGGGTGTCTTTTCTCGTGTTTTCACTAATAACCAATCTATATTTTATTATTTCTCTAAAATAGAAAATTATTCTCTTTATATTCTCATTTTTAATTCTCATTTCTAATTAATATTTTCATATTTCCATCTAAAAATTTCTCCCTCAACTAAAATTTTCAAAATTTTTTCCAAAATTCAATTAAACATCAATTTTCACTAAATTTTCTTCCAATATTCAATTATAATAACAATTTTCAATATTTCAATTTTCCAAAACAAAAAACGAAAACGTGCCTAGTGAAAAGAATTCTAATTTGTGGAATAACATCCTTTTTACGGTTCCAACAGTGAAGTAGTTTATTAACATCTTTCTCTAACTTTCATTCACAATAGAATCCCTCTTTCTTATAGTAAAACCGGTTCGCGGCTTATAACGGTGCTAGTAGTAATGTAAATCGCATAGTAGGATCATCATTGAGAAGCAAAAGTCACCCAGGCGACTCGTCGTCCTCGGTGCACATCTTCATTCACTAACCGTCAATGAATTGCATAATCTCTGATGCTCCTCGTGCGCTGATTGTGAAACGCGCCACACTGAACGTGTCTCTAATTTTTCATTCTCCCAAAATGTTAGATTAACCAAAAAATTTTCCATCCAAATAAATTTATAAATTACTCTAATTAATTTGAATTATGACATTAAATAGAATCGATCTTTCGCGACGCTGAATTGTGAAAGTTGTATAGATTGTTAGATATGCATAATTTCATTTAACGCCATTTCCTTAAGTTCGGGAGGGGGGGGGAGAAAATAAAACAAAAAAATACCAGAATAATAAATTTTAAAAATTAAAATTTACTTCCATCGAATTTTAATGTATTATAAAATTCTCGCGATTTTCTTAGAATAGAAATTTGATTGGGTAATAAAAAAATTGGAATAAAAGCTGATCGAGTCTCGTGTAATTCAAAGTTAAATCGCAAAAGTAGTTTGTCCTCTATTCGTTAAGTTACTGCCATACAAAGAGCGAGGTAATGAGAGCCGATTAATTATGAATCTCGTGCGACTCGCGGATTACCAAACGATTGCATAAAATTGAATCTTGTGTGTATTTTTTTTTTTCTCTATAGTCCTCCTTTTTTTCTAAACAAGATTGTAACGCAATGTAAACGCAACAAGAATTTTATTTTTTTTTCCCTAATATGGTCCGACTAGGCGTGGCGGTGACCGAGGTTGTCGGCGTGGATCGTTAACTATGCGAAAATGCAATCGGTGCACTATCACTCCAATTACGAAATGTTACAGCAGTGTATACATTTCCTCTCTAGTACTGTGCCCGCTAGCTTATTACTTGGTTTTATGACATAACGACCCTTGGAGCAATTACGTGTTACTTTAATTTTTCGACTTGCTTTTTTTTTGATTTTTTTTTGGACGCGGAAAAAAATTAAAAACCAAACGTTGTAGGCTGAAAAATATTATCGACAGTTTATTTAATATATGTTTATGCCAATTGACCACGTGTATTAAAAGTGAAAGCCAATGCACATTATGTTTAGAGACTTTAATCGTCGGTACTTGATCGCACAGCAGGATAACCAAATACGCTTCCGCGAAACTATTGAATACTGAGAAAATAAATACGAGAATTATAATAGGTTTGGGAATTTCTTTTTCTATTCGCGAGCATTGAGACGTGTTATTTTTTCAAGTGAAGATAATCATTTCCGGACGATTTGATGATCGACGGTTTTTTTTTCCTTTTTGTAGATTGTGCTCGCTTGTCTCGCCGTTGCATCGGCTTACCCCGGAGGACACACCGGATATGGAGGTTATGGAGGTTATGGACATGGTGGACATGGCCTCAGTGGTGGTCTTGCCGCTGGAGCTGGAACCGCACACTCCCTCCAAGGTGGTGCCTCTAGCTTGGGATCCGGTGGTCTTGGTGCCAGCTATGCTGCTGGAGCTGCCGCTGCCGCTGGTGCCGCAGGAGTTCAACAAGTTGTCTCTGGAGGAGTTCTCGGAGGAAGGTCCGACATCGGACCCGCAGAAGGACCCAAGGCTAATGTTGGACCCCAAACCGGCCCATCAGACCTCGTAGGACCCCAAGAAGGAGCCAAATCCATTGGAGGACCACGTACCGGACCATCCAGTCTTGTTGGACCAGCTGCTGGACCATCCACGCTCGTAGGACCATCCCAAGGAACTGCCACCCTTGTTGGACCATCCCAAGCCACCGCTAACCTCGTTGGACCCAGCTACGGAGGTGTTGCCTTCTACGCCGGTGCCGGTGGAATCAACGGTGATGACGGTAGCTCTGGCTCCGCCGCCGCTGCTGCTCCAGGAAACGGACTCGGTGGTGAGTACAGTACACAGCTAAAAAACAAAAATAAAAAGTTGAGTATTTGAGTACTAATAATACTGAATTGCATAGGACTTGGACTTGGAGGTGCTGGTGCCATCGCTGTTATTGGAGGAGGTCCAGGAATCGCTGGTGGAATCGGCGGACATGATGCCGGAGTTGCTGTGATCAATGGACCATCTGGCGCCATCCACGCCGGACTCGGCTCCCACGGAGCTATCATCCCCCATGGAAAATGGTAGACGAATCAACATCTCAGCGATCTCGGCTCGGCGACGGCGGCAAACCCACCACAGTTATACCGGTCAAAGAACTTCAACGCGCTCAACGTCTTCTTCCCCCAAAGCTTGATCCATCCTCGGAGCATGGTACGCCCCGAAGTAGTCAATCAGTCACTCAGTGATAGTCAGTCCGACTATTCGGACATCCTCTAGGAGACCACGGCCAGTGGAACGGGAGAAGGTCCAATCGATCCTTGCTCCGGCAGATCCAGGATAAAAGTGCGTCGCGATACTTGCCGAGATCTCCCCGGCAGTTGGAAACTCCAGGAAATTTAGTCAATTCCCGCTCATCCTGAGAACGCGAGCGCCTATCCTGGACAGCTGCCAGCAATCGACGATTAAAGACATTCGACAGTTCCATTTGTGCTCCAATAACACATCATTGGTTCGACGGTGTAGCCATAAACCAGTACGTGGACAAGCTTTGGCGCTTACACACGGAGTAGTAGAGCAACTTTGCTTGTTCTGTTTTCTGAACATCTGACGTTGTCCTCTACTCTCTCACTCTCTTACGTTTTCCATCTTTCGTAAGTCGCCGCTCTCACGCACATTATTATATTTTTTTTATTCCCACCACCCCTCGAGATGGGGCACATGGTGCTTGCGCCATTTGCCTCACGTTGTTATACTCACTGCCGCACCCAAGCATACATATTATTATCACATACTCGTGTCCATGCGCATATATCTCTTTTTTTTATATATATAGTATATATTTTCATATGTACTACTACTACTTCTTTCTTCTTCTTCACAGTATGTATATATATATACCGTACACATCACAAAATATACTATGTGTATCATCGTTTATTCGTATATATATATAAATACAAATACATGTAATCGTGTTATGTTAGTGAAGGAGACCGGTAAATTATGGTAGGTCAGCCGTTCCCCTGAGTGAATGAATGTACATAGATGGCGCGCCGCCGCCGGCCCCCGACCCCGCCCGCCCTCGTCATACCCTTTCTTTGCGATCACGACTAGCACCCCACAGCCACCATAGATAGATACCACGTATTTATAGCGTTTATACATTTATACAATACTTTATATAAAATAAAGCATCAGTATTTAAAACTCATACTTCTTTTGTCTATCAGTTTATAAAAACCTCTTCATCATTCTCCAATAACTCTCCTCTTCATCCAATCAATATAAAGTTAATAAATTTTCATATTCTTCACCATCAGTGAAAAAAATATTTCAATCTTTTAATAATAATTTGGAATGTCCCAATATATTTAATATATATTTCAATCTTTAAATACATCTTAGAATTCTATTAAATTCCATTTTTTAATTCATCATTCATCTTTTTAACTTTATTAATATTTTTCAACTTATAAAAGAAAAGTTTCTTTAAATGTAGAATTCCCTAATAGTATTTGATAGCAAATCTCATAGCAAATTCTATCAAACTATTATCCAATTACTTTAGCCAAAGTACACCCCAAAAAAAGTAATCTCATAATTAGAGGAAAAATCCTCTTCTAATATTCTCTCAATTTTTCCTCTTAATACAAAAGTATTCCACTTAAATGTAGAATAATTTAAAGTAATACATTTTACAAGGCCTTATTCGGTTCAAACAACTTTATTTACATCAGATGATATTGACGACGTTTCGATACATTTAGTATCCTCTTCAGGTCAAATTAAATTGAAAAATATAAAAATTAACAAACAGTTAATTTATCAAATGATCATGAAAAAATTTATAAAAAATAATAATTTATGAAAAAATTTGATTAGAATTTTCGCAAATTAATAAACAAAAATGTAACAATAATAAACTAATAGAAATCCTTTTATGAGGTAAGTATTCTTATTTTTAAACAATTTTAAGGAATGCTCCTTTTTGCGAATTCTAATCAAATTTTTTTTATAGAATGACCATTTGATAAAATGACTGTTTGTTAATTTTTATTTTTTCAATTTAATTTGACCTAAAGAGGATACTAAATGTATCGAAACGTCATCAATATCATCATGTAAATTGTAACAAAACAATTTTTTAAGGTTCAAATATGTCAAAAACATTGAATTCAAATAAAGTAAATAAACAAATAAATATATTAATTAATCTAAGTAATTAACTAATAATCATTAATTGGATTTATTTAATTAAAGTCTAAAGCCTACAATTTTTAATCGATTTGAGTGTTCTTTGTTTTAATTTAAAGGAAAATAAATTCTTAAGACATCCCTCGAGGCCGATTTTTGAGTTTTTAATTGTTTATAATTTATTTTGTTAATCAAAGTTAATAAATTAATAGAATTTTTTAAAAAAGGACTTTTATTTTTTTAATCCGTTTATTGCACATGATCTAAATTAATTCAAACTGATCCAATATGACAATCAGACAATTAATAAAACATAAAATAATTTATTTAAATGGTTATAAACAATATTAATTAACAAATAGATAACATTGATTCTTCTACACTAAAAAATTTTTTTTTCACGTTTATTTTTTTATTTAGGTTTATTCAAAGAATACATGTCCTCTTTGTTGAAAATTCTCATATTCTTTAAATGAACTTAAATAAAAAAGTAAACGTGAAAAAAATGTTTTTGGTGGTGAGGAGCAAAAGTTTACTATTTGTTAATTAATAATGCTCATAACAATTTAAATAAGTTCTTTTTTAAACAAAAAAGGAGATATATTCTTTAAATGAACTTAAATTTTAAATAATGTGAAAAAAACATTTTTTTAGTGGAGAGGAATCAAAGTTATCTATTTGTTCATCCATTTAGTCCCAAATGTCAGGAAAAATTTGGACTGACAAAATATCGCGTCCGAAATGTATGACCTTTTATTTAGGCTTTTCTGGAAATTTTAATTTTTTCGAAATTCAAAATGGTGGCTCAAAAATTTTCGAAAAAATATCTAAAATTTTGAATAGTCAGAAAAATAAATTCTAGACACATTTTCTCATTATAAATAACTAAAATTAGTATACAAATAACATCTATGATAAAATTTTATCTCTATGACTAATTTAACAATATTTTAAACAATTTTTATAAACAAATTGTTTTTTTTAAAGTCACAAATATTGAAAAAAATTTGTTTATTTACATATCGCTCTTATTTTGATAGTTGCCATGAATGTTGAGGATAAAAATTGTTTAGAATTATTATTTAACAATGTTATAAACAATTTTATAAACAAATTAAGAATTGACAATAATTGAAGCTGAAAAGTAATGTCTTCGTCCATAGACTTTTTTATTGTTCTCTTAATGAATCTTGGAGGTGAAAATTATTGACCACAATTATTAAACAACTTTATGAACAATTGTTATAAACAAATTTCAAATTACCAACAGGTAAACATGTAAAAATTTCGTTTTTCCATTTACTATTTTTTTTCTATATAATTAGCATCCAGCCCCTCAATTGAATATAAAAAAATAGTTTTTTCTTATAAAATCCTTTTTTCTATGTCACTTCTATATGATAGTAATGCCAATACTATCACTTTGCCTTCAGTTATACTGTAGATAAAAAATTACACTGTAAATAAATAATTTGTTTACATAAATTGTTTATAACTTTTTTAAAAAATATTTAGGACATATATTCTTGTAGTGAACTTAAATTAAAAAGAAAATGTGGAAAAAAAACATTTTTTAGTGGAGAGGAATCAATGTTATCTATTTGTTAATTAATATTGTTTATAACAATTTAAATAAATTATTTTATCTTTTATTAATTGTCTGGTTGTCATATTGGATTAATTTGAACTGATTTAGATTATGTGCAGTAACGGAATAAGAAAATTGAACGTCCTTTTTTAAAAATTGTATTAATTTGTTAACTTTGATTAAAAAAATAAATTATAAACAATTAAATAAAAATTACCAATGTGATAATTAGACATTAATTGAAAAGATAAATAATTTTAAGTAACATTAAATTTGTAAACGTGTGAAATAAACTTTTATTACGAACAGTTAATTAATTAAACGAAATAGTACATAATTTTTTAGTTTTAAATAATGCATTTGTTTAATGATTTTTTTTCGGTCGATCTCGTTTTTTGGTTGATTATCTACAGGTTGTAAAAATTAGAATATTTCTAGGATGTTCCAAAAGGAAAATCTTATAAATATCCTTATTTCTGGATAAAAGCCTAGGACTTCCAAATATAACATCATAAAATATCTGTTCTTCTTTGATTTATAAGACAAACTTACTAAAAATATCAAAATAGTAATAAAATAAAACTAAACGACTATAACTAATAGTAGTATTCACTACTAGTAAATAAAATTTAGAAAAAACTAAGATTTTTTAATTTTTCTGGTTTTTTTGGACAATATAAAAGAACTTGATGGATAGTTGATCAATAGTTGATAAATTAACTGACAATATTCTTCCATTAATTAAACTTTTTGTTTTGTTTCATATCTATATTATCCCAACATCTCTGTCGATAACGTATGGTTCTCGTAATTCATCTTATGAGTGGATCTATGCATAACAGATGCTCACTTGCTGAGAATTAACGAATGTCCAACGTAAATCATAGTCAAACCCGAAATCTCAACCAGTGTGGGAAGGTACAAAAATTTTCCATCCTTTAAAAAGAAATTTATGTACTTGAAAAAAATTCAACTAAAAAAAAAATCAAACTCTTTATTAAAAATAAACTTATTATAAACTTATTCTCAAAGACTCTTTATTTTTTTTCAGAAAATTGGAAATTGCGGACGTAATCCATCATTGCGGTGCTGCTTATTTTTGAGAAAGTTCATTTATTGATTTATTGTCTTGAATCAATGAAGAAGGAGAAAAAAACTTTGACGTACGCTTCTGAGATATTTTTTTGTTTTTTTGCGTGAGGTGAAACGGTAATGTGGAAAATTAGAGGAATTTGAAGATATACCAAACTTGTAGCAGCATTTCTCCACAGACAAGATTTAATTATCGAACGTAAAAGGGGAAGTTCCAAGATGGAGAGTAACTATACAAGGGAAATTAATGAGGCTATTGTACAACATAAAATGAAGTAATCTTCTTTGTTGGAATTGAAAAAAAAATTTTAATTAATTCATCAAAGGTCGTTCAAAATGGCTCATTTGTTTGTTATACTCTATATATACAGTCAATCATCTTTAGTTTAAGTAATTTATTTATTAATTATTCTACATTTTAACAATTTTGAAAATTTAATTAAAGAGAATTGTTTTTATCAAAAGGAGTTTACAATGTGACAAAATATTCATATAGAATTATAAAACGGAATTATGGAACTTAGATCTAATGCACTTCATCAGGAGTTGGAAATTCAACCCAGGAAATTTATTGTATAATGAAGATTATTCAGTGAGAAGAAAATTTATTATCATCTAATGAAGCAAGAATTGAAAATAAGATGAAAACTTGTGGATTGATTAAACACAAGAGTGACGAAATATTTTATCAAGACTAAATAGTTAAATTAAAGAATTTGTTTCTAAATTCTATTGGATTTTACTAGAAGAAGAAAAATAAGTGAACTAAATTTCACGATATTTTTTCAATAATTACAGATCCATTGTCTTTAAAATAATAGAGCATAAGCAAAGCAAAAGCGAATAAATCTGCTCATTCAATGGGATATTATTATCTAACAATATAACAAGAGGATTCAACTGTATTACAAAATTCGCCTTAGGCAAGGTGAAATGGTGAATTTTAATAAGCAATAATTTGATATTCACTTCCAACAACAAAGAAATAACAAAAACCACTATATCAGTTCGTGTGGAACAAATTTTGTGTATGTCTTTTGGGTAAATAGAAAAATAACACTAAACAGATAAATTGAAAAGCCAACATAGATAAATTGCAAAGCGGTCTATTATGTTGAAACTAAAAGAACTTCAAAAAACGTATCAACGGACATGAAAAGAACAAAAATCCCAATCAAGTTATAGTCGATTGTTGTCACAATTACAAACACGAATTTCATTTTAAAAATATAATACTTGTTGATGTTAAAGCACGATTGGAAGAAAAGTTTATTATCGGAATTGAAGTTTATTATTCACCGCCACAATAATGTTACAAAAAAAAGAAAATATTCACAAT